TAGTGTGTGTGGGGGGGGAATGGGAATCCCTTAAAAGTTCCTGCAGATCCCTCACTTGTCCAGTTCTAAGTTAAGAGTATTAAAGAATGCAAAGCTCTTAAAGTCTTAACAAGTTAAAGCCCCAGGAAAAATTGAAGAGATAGATTGGTGGGGGTTGAGCAGTATAAACAATAGTTCCCCTCATTGCAGAAAGGAGCCCAGAAAGAAGTTACTGTTTTCAAGGATGTGTTTTATCACGCTATTGTGCTTAAAAAATACAATAATCTAAAAAGTCCTATGTCATAAATGGCAGATAGGGGCTTAATGGTTAACCCTTCAACCTAACTACTCCCTTTTATGAACAGTCTCCAAGTCAATTTCTTTTTTTTTAATAAGTTTTTATTGATTTTCAAACATTAATAACACACAAACAAAACAAATATAAACATATACACCCACCACCCACATAACCCACTCACTAGTATTTCGCTCCATGTTTAGTTACTAGTTGAATGTATATTTTCTACAGTTCTTCCTATTTTCACGTCTACTATTCTCAGATATCAAAAAGCAGAATGGTATATCCTATTGAAAACACAACTCAAAAATCCTCTTTGTTTTCACTTAAATTGCTCAAATTCTGCAGCTAAACCACTCACATTAATCAATTAAATTGTGAAGTTAATATAATCATATTATAAATCATAAATAATATACTATTGCATATGTAATTCCCTCTTCATTTTACAGTTGAAACTAAATTACACGCAACCTCAATAATAATGACTACAAACTTTAAACTGGTCTCCAAGTCAATTTCTAACAGCTGCACAGTATTCCTCGACTTAACATTAATTGTGGGTTAGAATGTCTTTTTTGTTGTTGTTGTCTAATGCTTCAGGCCTAAGCACGCATATCAAAAAATAAATCTCATAGAATTCAATGGAATTTACAGGTAAACATGATGGATCTGTTTCTGCTTCCTAGGGGTAGAATCTATTAGTGACTGCACTGTAGACTCAGTAGCTTTCATATCAGAGGGCTTTGAAATCAACTTGGGTTCAAAATTAGCCTTTACCAGGTCACATATTACAGAGTCCCCAACCTGTGTCAGATGTACTATAATCACACACAAGCTGTGGATTCAGTTCCTGCCTATGCTGTGCCTGATTAAAATTAGGACTGCAGTATATGTGGGGAAGAGGCTTCAGTCTCTTCCACCAGCCATTTGTCTATACCGAAAGAGTCTGAGTAGTGCTGTTTGGGGAAACCTGTGTGTCCTCTGCAAAGGTGACAGGCAAGAAGCTGAGTCTGG